GCTTCGGGGGAACTGAGAGCGGCCACCGCCGCCTCGGGGAAACTGAGAGCAGACACCGCTGCCTCGGGGAAACTGAGAGCAGACCACGCCGCTCGCGCCGACATCAGCGGAGGTTCCTGCACGCTGCGTACCAGCCCCCGATGCTCCAGGAACGGGCGTGAGGTACTGGGTGCAGCAGACGAGGTCAGGATGGGCAACAGCTGTGTGTGTCTGTGAGTGTGTGCACAGGTGTGTGGAGTCAAGGTAACGGAAAAGGAGTCCGGGAGGATGGGAAATGGCGACCTCTGGTGGTGAGAGGGAGAACACCAGACGCCAGACCCTGACAAGCAGCCATCAAGTGTTAGACAGTGCTCTAGGTAATTACATGTGGAGGTTTTAGGTCTGATAATTAACACCTCTGTTTTTTCAGAATTTGCACTAATGCCAACAAAGTTTTCTAGTCTATTCAGAAAATTCACAAAGCACAAGAGAACCACAAGGATAAGCTGAGCTGAACCAATTGAAAAATGAGTAACCAAGGAAACTAACAAGGAGATGGGTGTGGTCCAATGAGTGTCCATGGCAACAAACAAGGGAACAGAGCAGCAGTGAAACATGAGGTGAACAAAGCAACACTGAAGAGTCCATGACCACAGACAGGAAACACAGGGAGGGATTGTGACAATAAGTGTTTGCTAAAAATCGATTGCATTGTTTTTGTTTGTTTGTTTTTATTTACTGATAACCAAATACACAAAAACACATGTTGGTTTTTATGTTTTATGGGGACTCTCCATAGGCATAATGGTTTTACACTGTACAAACTGAGTCAGGAAATGTCCTCATAAAACACGTTTATGTTGTTATACCTGTTACGGGGCGAACGGGACGTGAGATGTGTGGATCCATCTGCAAAGGTTTATTCAAAGGCGTGGTCATAAAACAGGTGTGACCGGTCTGGACCTTCACTCTGCGTTGTGTTGATAATTTAATGAGAAAGAGAGAGCAATAGTCCAGGCGAGGTGCAAACACAGTCTGAAACAGAAAAGCAAAGGGTAAATCCATCTACAAATCTCATTTGTAAGTCGCTTTGGATAAAAGCGTCTGCTAAATTACTAAATAAATAAATAAAATAAATCCAAGATACACAGGCAAGAATCAGATAACAGGCAATTACAAGACAAGACTAGACTAGACTAAGTAGTGATGTTAGGTTCTTGAACTAAAAGTCAATGTGGACCAGCAACTGTTTGGTTACCAAGATTCTTCAAAATATCTTCTTTTGTGTTCAGCACAAGAAAGAAATTAACACAGGTTTGGGACAACATGTGAGTGAATAAATAATGACAGAAATACAATTTTAGGGTGAACTGTCCCTTTAAGACCTGCACGCATCTAATATACAGGCATTCGTTTCTCTCAGTTTTTTACTTTCATTATAGACATAACCAACTGAGTCTATACATAAACCTTTTGTGTTTTGACAGTATTAGCACAAAACATAACTTAGTTCAGTAATTAGGCACTGTTTGACTCCCGTGAGAGTAACTCTACCGCTGAATTAACACCGATGTTAATGTATGTCACGTTGAGTAGACAGTTCATAAACCGACTCACTGACTGAAACTTGACAGGCAGACAGTTCCAAATCTGGCTTATTGACTGAAACTGGACAGGAAGACAGTTCATAAACATGCTCACTAACTGAAACTGGACAGGCAGACATTTCATAAACAGGCTTACAGACTAGGATTGGCAAGGCAGACAGTTCAGCAGACACGTTTGGGGAAACAAAACAGGCAGACAGTTCATGAATGGTCTCTATGGAAGTGACAGGGTTAACAGGACAGACAGGGGGTGCATTTACATCTTCTGGACTCATGACTGGACTAATGGGGCCTCAATAGCCGTGACAGGACAGGCAAGGGGTTCACAGACGGCCTCCATAGCCGTGACAGGACAGGCAGAGAGCTGATAAGTGAAAAACACTGACACCTCTGGAGGTTCTACAGCAGTAACATCAGGAAACAGGGAAGGTTCAATAATGGTCTCTTCGACCATGACACGACAGGCTGAGAGTGCATTGCTGGGCGCCACCACCACGCAAGGAGCTGAAGCAAGTACCGCCGCCTCGGGAGGTTCTGCAGCATACGCCGCCACCTCTGGAGAAACTGCAGCGGACGCCATCACTTCAGGGAACACAGCAGTGAGTGCCACTACCTCAAGAGTTTCTGCAGCATTCTGTGATGGTGTATGCAGCCCAAACACACCAAAAAGCAATCCGTATCATGGGAAGCACTTCAGACAGGGGAATCAGTTCCGGGACAGGAGGGCTAGAGTGAGTGGGTTTGGGGATACCAGCTGCACGTGCAGACACCAGCGGTGCATCCCTCACACTGGATACCAGACTGGGATACCAAAGGACTAACCTTGATAATCTGGGTGCAACAGACAGGACGTGACAAGACTCTAGATGATCAGCTGTGATGTGACGTGACTCTGGACGAATAGCTGAGACGTGACGAGAATCTGAACGAACAGCTGAGACGTGGCGAGACTCTAGAAGGTCAGCTGTGACGTGACGTGGCTCTGGACGAACAGCTGAGACGTGACGAGGCTCTGGACGAACAGCTAGCGGTGCATCCCTCACACTGGATACCAGACTGGGATACCAAAGGACTAACCTTGATAATCTGGGTGCAACAGACAGGACGTGACAAGACTCTAGATGATCAGCTGTGATGTGACGTGACTCTGGTAGATCAGCTGAGACGTGACGTGACTCTGGAAGATCAGCTGTGATGTGATGAGACTCTGAATGATCAGCTGATATGTGACGTGACTCTAGTCTAGACCAGTGTTTCCCAACCATTTTTTAGTTGGGGCACCCTTTGGAAATTTTAACAAACTTGTGGCACCCTACAAAATTAATTTTGTCACAATATTTGAATTTCTAACTTCGATATGATAATTTGAAAAGTATAGATATTCGGTACAACAGGGAAGAACTGCAGAATATAATGTCATACAGATATTTTTAATATTATTAAAAAATTGTGTCCATCAATGGTGGCAATCAGTATAGGCTAATTTCTAATGAAGAGACCAATTTATATGACAGATTTTAATGTAGGCTTTTATACATATGTAAACATTGTTTAATTACCATTATAACTAGCTATCTCACTAATTTTTGCTCACTCAAGTGTTTTTTTTATTTTACAGTGGGGTAATTTTGGTGTAGTAGCACGAGATAACTTGATTTCAAACTTTGAATTGAATAAAAAATGACAAGTAAGCAGTCTGGACCAGACTGGTTCAGGAAGCGGTTCGAATCTTGAAAATTCACAGTCCTCTGCCCTGTTAAACTCAGCCACTTTCCAGTTTTAGACTAATAATATTGGCCCTAGACTAATAATATTGGCCCTCCTGCCTATTATGAGCAAAGACTTGATTTACACACATTTGATAGCCCCATTCATTTCAAGCCAATACGTTTATTACACAGTTATGTTATATTATGTTATACAATCATTATATGCCACTAGAAAATACATATTATATTCATATAAACAGATTAGTCTATGTGGAAACTGATTTTTTTTTTCTTCACCGTTATTTCTAAGCCTTAACTGGCGCAAAATACAGTGTATCACAGACCACATCAGGTCATCTGTAATGTATCTGCTTGTTTTACACTCTTTGGCCACCAGGTGGTATTGTGAGCAAATGAAGCCTCAAGAAATTAACCCTTTTGTAAACCACTTGGCTGAAAAGCTTCAATACTTCATGAGGCTTCATCTCGCCATCACTACTAAGAACTAACAACTAGGGCAGAAAACTGGCTCCGTAATGTAGCTATCACTAGGTGAGCGATATACACTAAACAATACTCTAAACCAGTGTTTTTCAACCCTGGTCCTGAGCGCCGGGGGCGCCAGGACCAGGGTTGAGAAACACTGCTCTAAACAATACTCGGCAGTGAGAAAGAGGAAGTCCATGGCTTATAAAATGTGTTAATTGGTTGCAGCTGTGGGTGTAATCAGTGCAATGGATGATGAGAAATGTAGTCCGGGGTGAAGTGCAACAGTTTGTGTGGTTCAAGAGTCCATAGTAATGAGCGGGTGATCTCGGGTGGTGAGCGAACTGAAGAGCAGGCACAGGATCCGTGACAATACCAGTGTAATATCCATGTCATTATACAAATTTGTGTCCTCATAAATCACATAAACATGCACACACACACACACACAAAACGTCTTTTCTGTATTTTTTAAAAACATGGATGAGGTGTGCTTCAAGGGATTCAGCAATAGTTATAGTATACCTATTTTTTAGGACTATATACACTTAACCTATTTTCAAAGGTTTGCAAATGCAAATTACAGTTGTCTTTTTATGAGACAGTACTCACATTGGAGTGAGGAGGTCGATTCTATATAAGCAGACTCACAAACATCCAAAATTAGCATAAATGTATCATTAGATAAGTCAGAAGTCAAAGGATAAATTAAAGTAGCTGTCAGAAAGATGTGCCAAGAGAGATGGCATAAAAGAAAAATAGGCACAATCTTATTGGCATTCAAAAAGAAGTTGGATCTGAATGATACAATAATATCTCAGCTAGAATTGGACAGCCTTATAATAGGAAAGCATGATTCTGGCTGTTGTAATAAATGTGGACTTTAAGAAACTAAGAAAAGAGCATATGCTGATGAAATGTAAGGTATGTGAAAAATCCAGCTCAGAGGAGAACTAAAACTTCTTGCTATCAATTGTGGGACATTACAGAACATTCTGAACTAGATGAGTAAAGTTTTTTAACTTGGCATTTTCTCATATAGTATAATATACATATTCTCATATACAGTGCTGCTTGAAAGTTTGTGAACCCTTTAGAATTGTCTATATTTCTGCATGAATATAACCCAAAAAATCATCAGATTTTCATGCAAGTCCTGAAAGTTGACCCATCTGTTCAGAGGTGTTTTAATCAGTGAGATGGCTATCAGGTGTCAGTGTGTGCCCTGTTTTATTAAAAGAACAGGGATCTATCAAAGTTTGGTCATGTTTGTGGAAGTGTATCATGGCACAAACAAATGAGATCTCTGAGGACCTCAGAAAAAGAGTTGATGTTGTTCATCAGGCTAGAAAAGGTTTCAAAGCCATCTCTAAAGTGTTTGGACTCCACTAATCCACAGTCAGACAGACTGTGTACAAATGGAGGAAATTCAAGACCACTGTTACCATCCCCAGGAGTGGTCCACTAACAAAGCACACTCTAAAAGCAAGACGTGTAAAAGTCCACTAGGTTTCAAAGGACTGCAGGCTAACTTTTAAGCAACTAAAGGCCTTTCTCACATTGACTAATGTTAATGTTTATGAGCCTATCATCAGGAGAACACTGAACAACCATGGTGTCCATGGCAGAGTCGCAAGAAGAAAGCCACTGCTCTCCAAAAAGAACATCGCTGGATTGGATTCTCTTTGTCTACTTACAGGATTTGTGTGACAATCTAATTATGTTTTTGGTCATACTTATGCAGAAATATAGAAAATTATAAAGGGTTCAGAAACTTTCAAGCAGCACTGTATATAATTCCCCTTGTACAGCAACACGCCACCCCAGTAGGGGGCGGAAGTGCACCAACAGTTGGTTTGCCAACCGCCATATAACCTAGAAGTAGAAGACACGCTAGTGCAGTGAATAAGCATTTTAGATCATTCGTCGTAGTTTTAAGACGTCACTATATACCTAAAGGTTTACTTCCAAAGAAAAGTATTTTTGACTGTACGGCGTACACAAACCGAAAAGTTTACTTTATGCGACAGAAACAATGATGAAGATCTTTCTGGAGGGCGTGGAAAAGTTTGTTGTTATCACGTGATAGACCTCTAATGTTTGATAAACTATTTCTTTCTTAAGCTCCAGTTCTTTGGTTTCGACGTTCAAAGGATATTCACAAATAATGCCTCAACCTAAATACAGAAAGATTGCTGTATTAGGGTATCGTTCTGTTGGTGAGTGTTTGATATACTTTTTTTTTAGTAGGAAGTATTTGATGTTATGTAGTCGCTAAGTTAGAGTTCTTACAGTTGTATAGTAAATTTCATTTTTAGCTGTTCTCTGGTGTCCAGCCACTTTAAGTCAATTTACTAATTTATTTCGACACTGTAAAGAAACTTCAAACAGGGCACCAGCATTTGGAAACATAATGGAGAAGCGCATGGTGCTGGCAGGAATTAGCAACGTGCGGATCTCAACGAACGAGGATCACACGCGATCATTTACAATCATTTGCCAATGAAAACTCGAATATAATCAATCTGGCAATTCTAGTAACATCTCGCTATGCCTCAGAAGTGATTTGTAACGAGTTGGCAGTTCCTTTTTAGCTAGTAATTCGCCAGTTATTGCCGCTTTCTGTTCCACCTTAAATGACTCTACGACTCACATTAACGTGTCGATGGCGCTGTGTCCATAAAGGTCTTTACAGTGCTCATTCTCGGTCATTTTCAAGGGTACGTTAAATGTGACACTGTTGTTTAATGAACAGTTTAATGCCCCATCAAGATTTTCAAACAATACATACTGAGTCGAGTCGAATGTGACATTTTTACTGTACCATTTTAATGGTTTTGTGAAATTGACGTGCGCGACAACAAAGAATAAGCCGTCCTGTTGCACCTTCTGGCCAATATGAGGCTGCCTTTTGCCTCTGCCAAAGTTTGTTACTCTACCGCTCTATTTTAATGCACCTATGGATCTTACATTTGAGTCAACACATATAAATAAGTTTAGTTTAATCATCTGTTTGATGTGTAGTACTGGTTTTTCGTCATTATCAAGGATAAGCCTAATATGATGGCTGATAAAAAATACAAAACTTGAAGAATACTTACTATACCTTTTTTTTTTTTTAAATCGAAATTTCAAAATTACATTTTCAATTGCAGCAATGCAGTGTAAATCTATATCGATAGAACTAACGTATATAATATTCTTATTTGACAAAATTCTGTTTAACTTTATCTTGCACACCTGGCGGCCCTTTGAAATCCTTTTATATTTGGTGTATTGCCTTCTGAAGTGGCAGTTCTTGTGGTATTGTTTGCTGACTGGTGCCATTAGGTTAACAGATTACATTTTGTCTTTATGCAAATGCAAAGTGATTCCATATTTCAGTTGAGGACAGCAAGCTATATTTCTGTTGTTATCAGCTATTTCTATCATTCAAATAATATAAATAATTAAATAAACCTTCTGCTGATGTTCACACTATGCATTACACATTTACATGCATTGTGTTAGTGCCATGTTCTTAACCTGCATATACATGTGGCTTGATCAGTCAGCAGCTTTCTCAACACCTTTCTGTTACTTTAGTTATTATTTTTTCTGTTATAATAAAATAATTTATGATTATTATTTTACTTTGTCATTTAACACCCTTATAATAGATGGCACATTTTTGTTACTAATTATTGTTAAACACTGTTTTGCTAATTGTTTTGATTTATTTACAACAGGAAAATCCTCCCTCACGATACAGTTTGTAGAAGGACAATTTGTAGATTCCTATGACCCTACTATTGAAAACAGTGAGTACTGGAATATTTTATTGATATACTGTTTTTCTAGCATTCATAGATTGCATTATTCTAAAATGCCATAATGGACTAATAGGCCTACATGTAGTGAGTGTCTTGCAATTAGTATATGCTACTAAGTTTTTAAGATCATTATATAATGTAGAAAGAAAGTATGAGAGTTGACAGGGCTGTTTCTGACCATTGACTCATTGGCATTTCTCTGGGGAAAACTATGACTCTTTGCATTTGAAATGAGCCTGTGTGCTGTAATCTGTTAAACAACATAGTGTAACCACTTTTGTTTATTTTTCATTTACTGTTTTTATTATTTTGTTTAGTATTCACTTTCTAGTTTAGTATAAATGTATATATGTATATAAATGTCTTTATTTATTTTAATGTTTTGGCAAATTTAATGTAAATTTGAATGCTATATATTTATCCCTTTGTGTATGCATACATAACATATATATAACTTGTGTAATAACATTAATTATTCATTAACAAACATTGTTACATAATGTTTAACAGATCATTAGTTGTTTAAATAGAAATTAGTGTCATTAAAATTTGATTCATGTACTGTTATAATCATATGAATGTTAATGAACCACTTATCTGCTAAGTATAATGTTGTTTAAGAAGTAATTAAAATTGTGTTATTAGTGTTGCCAACATATTTTTATTTTCATCAAGTGATCAGTAATGACTGCTATATTGTGACACCTGTCAGGTTAACTAAATAGGAAAATTGGAAGAAAACAAAATCTGTTGTTCCTTATTCAGTTTTTAATTCCCGCTTGTGTGCTGTGTGATATCTCGGCAGCCATCGTGGACATTTTGTTATAATATTGTTGCTCCAAAACTACCTTTGAATGTTCTGATATCCCCAATTGAATATATCTTTTCTGTTTGCCTTTAAGCTTTTAATAAAATGGTGTCTGTGAATGGCCAGGATTTCAATCTCCAGTTGGTTGACACAGCTGGACAGGTAAGAACACCCCAGCCCAAACTTTCTGTAACTTTTTCCCCCATCATTTTTCATACCAGTTGTCCCCTCCCCCTTTCTGTTTAGGATGAGTATTCCATTTTCCCCCAGTCTCATTCTATGGATATTCATGGTTACGTTCTGGTGTATTCTGTCACTTCAATGAAAAGGTCAGGTTTTTTTTTTCTTTCTTATACTGTTATGGTTGTTTTCCTTAGTCATATACAGTGCCTTGCGAAAGTATTCATACCCCTTTATTTTTTTTTTCTTTCACGTTTTGTTATATTGCTGCCTTATACTAAACTGCTTTAAATTACTTTTTCCCACATCAATCTATACTCCAATCACCATAATGGTAGAGCAAAAAACAGGTTTTTAACATCTACGCAAATGTATTAAAAATAAAAAACTTAAAGGATTCCATTGCGTGAGTATTCATACCCTTATCTGGGACAGTTAAAATTTAGCTCAGGACCATTCATATTGCTTATAGATGTCACTACACTTCGAGTGAAGTTAACCTGTGGCAAATTCAATTGAATGGATATGATCTGGAAAGGCACACACATCTTAAAGGGGTCATATGATGCGATTTCAAGTTTTCCTTTCTCTTTGGAGTGTTACAAGCTGATTGTGCATAGATAAGATCCCTGAAGTTGCAAAGACTAAAGTCTCAAAACCAAAGAGATATTCTTTATCAAAGTTAAGACTCTGCCACGCCCCCCTAAAACGGCTCGTTCTAACGTCAGCTAAATATTTAGTTATATAATACTTATGCAATATACTTATTTCAGTTTTTTTATTTTTAATTAATTTACGAAGTTGTGACAATTCTGTTTTTGCTTTGTCAATATGGTGTATGGAGTGTAGATTGATGTGGGGAAAAAAGTACATTTAAGCAGTTTAACAAAAGGCAGCAACATAAAACGTGAAAAAATTGAAGGCACTGTAATTGGAATGTTTAAATGTTTGGTCTGTTTTGATTTTAAGTTTAATAATGCAATACAGTACAATACAATAATGACAATAATGCATTTGCATGCTTGTGTAATCTCTTTTTTTATTTCGTTCTTTATTCTTGGACTCATCTATATATACCTTGCTGGGGGTTTTTGTGCATCTTTATTTTCTTCAGTATTCTGACTGTAACCTGGGTTATGCTTTGTTTTTCTGCCTGCATCTCACACACAATCCTAATTATTGTTGAGTATACTCCATTGACCATAAGCTTGTACGGACAATTGTGACTCATTTGTACTAAGACTGATTTGTAATACTTCATCTGTTTGTCATCTTTATATTGTTTCAAATTCAAGTTGGTTTTCATTTTACTGATTACAGAGAAACATGCTGTCAGAGAGATCAGCATGGAATCTCAATACAGTTATTTCAGTCAGGTCTTCTAGAGAGATAAAATATTATAGCACCTTTAATCAAAGCTACTTCAGTCTGGATATATTGACTCTGATCTAGCGATTTATTGCACTCCAATTTACCGATGATCTATACATACTTTAGAGGTATTTTAGCCCATGTGCACAATGACAAGATCATTTAAAACGATATAATCTCTTGTTTACAGCTTTGATGCCATTTATGACTGAAATATTAGCTTAATTTCTGTTTCAAATGTGTGATAACGTTTTAAATCTTAATGGATATGTGTACTAATACTGCTCTGTACATGTATCAAACTGTTGCACTAGTTTCCTAATTAATCTTACTAGAATAAAAATAAAAACTTATGCAATAGCAAGAGAACTGATCAAACATTTTCTGTTTTGGTTGCAACCACTATGACTGCCACATGATTTGGCTTGCTATATAGATATACTATAATATACTATAGCTTACTATAGATATAAATGCATAGGACAAAAATGTAAATTGAATCAGCACTGGCTCTGTCAAGCCCCATTTCCATCATAATGGTTCTGGTGCGGATTACTGACCAGTGTTCTGGGTTGGAAAAATCGATTCCACTCTGGCCCTATAGCAGTCTCACTGAGCAATGTAATAACATTCTATTCCATTACTCTGAAGGTCTTAATATGTTAAATTGCATGAGAGAGAATGTGTTCAATTTCAGTTTCTCTTGAGCAACTACAGATGAGAGTAGTGGCAGTTTACCGGCAGAAATGCACAGTAATGACTCCCAGTGTCTGAACAGCATAACACAGAAATGCTGCTTACACAAACAATGTGACGCATCATATTTGTTTTTGGACTGGTTATGTAGTCACTTAAACAACACCTATATCACCTTTTCTGTTACATAAGTCTATGGGAACACATGGCAACTTCTAGACAGGCTTCAGTTTGCCCAGCGAAACACTATGTAGGAAACACTGAATATATTTTACTAATATTTGATATTTGTCAAAACCATTGCAGATACTATAACACTAGTGACACACTCAATATTGGCTGAGAAAAAGGACCTTTTTTTTAACCTCATATTCTGATAAGTGTTATTTTTCTTCTGAGTGTAAGGGCTTAGATACTGATATGAATGTTTTTCAGAGGCCAATAAAATGTAAACAATCCGCTCTGTTTTCAGTTTTGAAGTTGTGCAGGTTCTACATGACAAGCTTCTTGATATGGTTGGAAAGATACAGTAAGTGTGGTTTAAACTTGTGAACATATGGTCTAAAATATTACACAAGGTCATAAAACATGTAGTCATAAATATTACATATTTACCCAGGGTACCTACTGTTCTAGTTGGAAACAAAAAAGACCTTCACATGGAAAGGTAAGCATATACTATATATTCCCCTTTTGCATGTTTTAGGGACCAAGCACTTAAACCCTATTTTTGATGATGATGATGGTGGAGTTTAATTTTACTTTTATAGGGAAAAATACTTAGAAAACAGTACATTACATAGACTTGGTAGAATTGTCCCAAATCCCCCTACTACTCAGGCATACATGCTCACATCAATCTGACAGTCTGTCAAAAAAAGCTTTTTTTTTTTTTGCCATCAGACATACTGTTGGATATCAATTTTTACCCAGGCCATATTGCCTTTTGTCATTTTGAATTACATTTAAAAGGTTTTTCAAGCCTATTGTAGTTCAAAGGGTGTTTGTCTAATCAATCATCATATGCTCCTGACTAGGGCTGTCAAAAAAAAATTCAAATTTCGAATATTCGTCGAATTTAAAATAAAAATCCACGAATTTTAGGTGTGCGTTAAGGAGGCAGCCTTATCAGTGGTGCATGAGATGCGATGACGATGTAAGTGTCATTGCATTTTATTGTTTTTGTTAGCCTATCCAGTTGAAGCCACTAGATGCGGTGCTGCAGATGTCCGTATGCACAAAGGCACAGATCCCTAAACAAGGCCATATCTGCAGATGAAACTTTTTTGTAGAAGCATTTTTTAAATTTGAATTAGCACCTCATGACTACACCACGTTGTGTACGAGAAGCTGCAAAAGACACTGGTGCAAGTGGAATGTAAAAAACACGGTGACATTAATTTATAAGTAAATATAATTGGCGATATATTGCGTCACCAAAAATTATTGAGGTCATGTACATATATTGCGCGATAAGTCGATATATTGATTATTGCGACAGGCCTACCATCTAGAAATACTCTAGCAACCGCAACAACACTCTAGCAACCACCTACAACTTTAGGTTTGAATATGAACAAGCAGCATCCATATTTTCACATTTTCAAGCAGCATCCGCCCTTTGTATTAAACTATGCATACATACATGATGCTGTTTTGTATAAACATTGTGCATAAACATTATGCACTTTTTTTCACAGATAGTCATGTTATCTTATTCTTTGAATAAACGTGCATTAGTAATATTTTGCTTGAGGCCCTCTTGTGGCCTCAGGAGAGAAGCCAAAAGCTTTTCTTGACCCTAACTGAAATTATGCATTTTAAAGGGGTCCTGTGATGCTATTTTAAAGATCATTATTTTGTGTATTTGGTGTAACAAAATATGTTGACATGCTTTAATGTTCAAAAAACACATTATTTTTCAAATACTGTACATTATTATAATTTGAATGTTGATAATATTTATGTACAAAATTCGAATTTAGTTTTTCAGCCATTTTGACAGCCCTACTCCTGACAAAGAGTTTTAAAATGAATTTTGATGTTTAGTTTTTGTTTTCTGTGGTAGACATGCTTGCATATACTAAAAATCACAATTGATTTAGCAAATTTCTAATCTTAATAATTTGGCCTTAATATCATGAGCCTGCAAGCCTGGTCTCATGATAATGCTTCCTTGGGGCATACAGTTGAATGATACCCTCTCAAAACAAGTGTGTTAAAGTAAGGCATTGATGGGCCATTTAGGTAACGGATGAACGAGATTAACATTATTAACATTCATCAATGTGATGTAATGTCTTTTTGTGCTTTTGTCTGTATATGCAGCAACAAAATGAGTAAGGGCAGCTGCAAAGGGAATGAGATAGTTGGTAGGCACAGCATTTCCAATCTCATGCTTTCTCTCTTTTTTTTATTTAGAGTGATTAAACCAGAAGAGGGCAAGAAGCTTGCTGATTCTTGGGGTGCCGCTTTTATGGAGTCATCTGCTAAGGAAAATCAGGTAACTTCGTTTTTGTTTTTTGGGGGGTTTTTTCGAATAAGGAAATTTTGCTTGTTTTACAGTTGTTTACAAAACTTGTTATAGACATATTTCTGCAGTACACATTTTTGTTTTCTGTACAGTATGGACATTTGTGCATATGTTCTACTTTTTAAAAGCATTTATTTTACAGACAGCTGTAGAGGTTTTCAAGAGGATTATTCTGGAAATGGAAAAAGTTGATGGAAATGCCCCATCAGAGGAGAAGAAGTGTGCTGTGATGTAAGGCATGCAGTAAACTCACATGCTGAAGTTAAGAGACACATCACCATGCCATTAATTATAATGGAGCAGTTCAGTAACAGGTCCTCTCCTGATGAATTATTTCCAAATGCAGTCAAGATTTTAAGCAAATCAGTACTGTTCAAAACCAATGTCAACAAACTTTCTTTCAATATTTAGTATTGGGAATTCAATATTAATGCTATATGAGGCTAAAATTACTGTAAAAGTACTGTAAAAATTACTGTTTATTTAAAATCTCCCATCTCTTTTACTTTAAGCTTTGTTGACTGACATTTAATGTTTAATCTGACAGGTACTAACCTGTCTGCAATCTACGGTCTCAGATTATCTCAGCAGTGCACAGTTGCTCTTATTTGAAATTTGTTTTTCTTTTTTTGCTCTCCCTCTGACAACTATTTACTAATTTTACTTATCTTGAGTAATCAGCAGAATTAAAATGTGTATCAGTAGTCCATTTAAATTTAGTTTTTACAGAGACTGTCATTGAGACTGCACATATTAACAACTCAGTGCTGTGCTCCTCCTTTCCTCTTCCTAGTGGAGTATGTGAACAGTGTGGGTGTGTATATATAAGATGATGTAAACAACATCCTAAAAGATCCACTGTTCACACTGTTGGTTTTATACACAATCAAGTGACTACAAGAACTGTATTCTTTCTAAACCTTCAGTATAAAGTAAATATGAGATCTTTAAAACTTTGTTAGAATTCTATTTGTGAGATTTAGCTTCTTTTTTTTTTTCATTTGTTGGAAGTGTTTTGCTTTTGATTCAGCTTGGTTACCTGTAACGATGCCCTACACCCATTTTAGTCATGCCACTGTCAGCATACACTATCTTTACGTGGCATATAAAAGTGTGTGTGAGAAAAATACACCGTTTTAGTATGTTGCTGAACTTCATACAGACCATTTGCCGTTTGTGAGGGCATAGTCTAATATTTACATAGTTACCAAGGACCAGTCAATTTATGATCAACAGTTTCCCCCTGTGGAGTCGTATAAACGTAATCTTCATTTAAAAGCAGGGTCACAAACAATACCTCTGTAGAGCCGTTACGACTGATAATACACCGGCTACCAAAAAAATTTTTTTCCAATGCAGTTGTAGTATCCTCCCTGCTTCCTATTTAGTAACCCCTTAGTGATATTAAATAGCACCAAGATACGAATACCATCCAGAAATGTCCTGACCTATACTACACTGAATCAGCACTACTGAAGTCCAAGGGTCCTTTGAAATCTGACCTCCTCATTTTCCTGTGAAGTTCAGGGTGCCAGGTTTTTCATTTTTATAATTTTGACAACCTACTTCATTATAATTTTAGGGACTTCTGTATATGGAATTTTTGTATGTGGAAAAATAAACATTTAAAGAATGTGTTAATGTGTTTTCTGTTTGTTTTCGTTCTTACGGTTGGATTTCTCACCTCAGAGTTGAAATAGTCAGGGCAATACATTTTCCATATAATGCAACTTGCTGCTTAACCACCTTAGTACAATGCATGTTTGCAGAGATTAACTAACTAGTCGCAGCTTTTAGTAACTTGTCAAACATCAAACTGAGAAGTTATGTTAATGACAGCATGCAGGTGGAGTAATAACTTCTGACAATTAATAAATTTAGTCATTTACATAAACAGAATTCCATTCATTTTTATATAAATTATGTAATTGCTGTATGCTTTCCTCCCATATATGTGCAGTTTAGTCAGTGAGTAAATTTCATGGGATTGTAACTTCTCTGTGACTCTGCTGAAAATGAACATGGCATCTGAGGACTGCTTTGCTTTTGTTCTCTTTTAATTAAAGGCAGGGTATGTGATTTTTCAAAAACACTTTAGAAAACTGATTTGGGCCGAATCGCAAAACAAACTTGTAGCCAATCAGCAATAAGGGGCGTGTCTACTCGTGATGTGGAGGAGAGAGCTTTCAGTGCATGGGACAGACATTAGCTGAGCCGAGCGACAGAGAGAGAGAGATGGCGGATAAAAAAACAAAAGAGGAAAACGTCTGCGGAACGATAAGACAAGAAGTAGGACCCGTGGATGTTTGATTCCATCTTGGGTTCCCTCTTATGTAATAATCTGGGGTTCCCCAGATAAAACTCTTAATTAGTCAAAATTCTCATTATTGAGTTGCATTATGGGATTGAATGAGCACACTTGATAATGTTCACTATGGTCTTGGACGCCACTACAAATGGCTGTTTCATCAAATGGTATAGCCATTGCGACTATGCAATAAAAGCACAGGCCTTGGAACACCCGCGTCTATGAGACTGCTCACACCCTGCATGGTGAGTACTGCTGGTGTTTTGAAATTTTATTCCCCACTAGATTATAGCTCCCCTGCTTCTGGTTGGTTGTTATACTGGGGATCTCGAATACTCATTCCCACAACTAACCCTAACCATAGTAGAGGAAACCAAGGGAGTCATAATAGTTTGCAGTTAATAATGAAATAGTTTTTGAGTTAATGAGAAACGGTCTCCATACCTCAGGAAATGTGCTTCATTCTAGAAATCTTAAAAGTATCGACTCGAAGGCGACTAAACCAGACGCTGCCTTTGTGCTGAAATTACTTAAGGTGATAGAATAAAGATGGACATTTTAAGGTGATGAAAACTGGTCAGGTTCCCTCAAGTTAATGCTCATAACAGTGAGTTAAAATTGAGGTAATGTGCAGTGATGTCTGTGATCGCAGGTAACAAGGATTCAGTACATCACGAGAAGTAGAGACAACAATTTACCCACCAGTCTTTGCACATCAGTCTAGAACTGCATTCAAATGGGCTAATATAAACAGCGAAAAGATATTGAGACTAGTGTTTTTATTGATTTTAATTAGTTCCTGGTGTGGTTCATTCGTGGTTATAAAGTAGATGTGATGCAACCATTATAATGCATCTGTTACGATTATAGGTCAAATAAGAAGACACATTCAATATAACTAGATCATGTTATTTTCATATTAAAATCACATCAGACATTTATCACTCAATTTAAGCCTTTTGGATATGACATTACATGAATTTATAATAAAACAAGTATTATTTACACAAGTACATTGTCATCATACCCCCAACTATTGTAATGTGTATAACTCAAGTTTTGTCTGGTTGATGATGCAGCAGTGTGTTCAAATCAATGCATTTTGTCAGGTTCAGTGAACTTCAACAGTTCACCCCTGCTTGTTGCATAGGGAGCAATGAACACTGAAGGGACAATGTAAATAAGAATGCAGTTTAGGATGATTTTGTTGTCTTGAGTCATTGAGGTTTTTGAATGGGATTTAGTTAAATACCAAAAATAAGGTATGTGGTTACCAGATGTTTTGGGATTTTATTCGGTTACACTTTATTTTGATAGTCCACTTTAGACATTTTACTAACTAGAAGTAACTTTGCAACTACATGTCTACTAACTCTCAAGAGTAGACTGTTAGGGTAGGTTTAGGGTTAGTAGAATAAGTTGACATGCTTGCAAAATTTCTTACAGTCAGTATGTTGTATGTTGTGGACCCATCAAAATAAAGATTTAGAAGATATTAAGCAGACAGTCTACTAATACTCTAATGACTGCTAGCTGACATGTAGTTGCAAAGTTACTGTTAGTAGAATGTCTAAAGTGGACTATCAAAATAAAGTGTAACCTCTTATTCTACTCCATAGCTTTTGGCTCAAAAAAGAGAAAAGAAATTGCTAACAAGTGGTAGGTTGTTGTGGAAATTAAACATAATTATGCCTAACTGGAAAACACGTGATGTACCCACTTGTACAGCCTCTTTGTGTTTATGATGCTCTTGCAAACTATTTTAATTCAAACTTTCCAACTTTTACATTTTTAATAAAGACTAGAATATTTGTCAAAAGCTTAGTGGTGGCAATGTTTAGGTCATATGACAGTGGTGCTTTATTTATTGACAAACTTTAGGTTTTTACTTCTGGCAATTGCATTTAGGTTATGTGAGGATTAACGTGATGTATAAAAGGGTGTAAGAATCAAACTTTTGTTGGATGCAGAGCTTATTTTCTACAATAATCCAAACGACAATGGAAAAACCCTACTGGCTTTTTGCCAAGGGAACCAGGTTGAATTACTTGACTACCCCATATCTAAATAAAATAATTTTAACCAAATAATTTTAGGTGTTTTTTTTTCTTTCTGTAAATGCTATTTTTACAGAAATAGAAAAGTCAATAGGAAATGTCATGGTATTCATTATAGAGAGTACTCAAGACAAAAAAAGTACAATATTTTGAGATGGCAATCTTCAAAGTTGATACTCTAAAAGTGTAGAGGCATGATGAGAATCACTAAGTTTGGGTCTTCCTCCAATTCGACAACCTCCAAAGCAACAACCAACAATTTCACCCCACTAGATTTTCTGTTACCAAACTCCTCCTAAGGGGTTTATGAGATCTTCATTAAATTTGGCTCAGACCATCAGACCATTGGCCCTTGACCATTCAGGCTTTTTGTTTTAACTGTTCTCAAATAACACATTAACAATTTCATGCAAGATGTCCAAAAGCATGTAAAGCAATGCTTTGGGATACTGACATGAAACTTTGCATGTAACCGTACCCTGCAATTATCAACTTGGTAACAGTGCCTCCTACTGTACTACAACAGGCAGTTGTATTGTAAGGATGTTTAATTATATCTTTCAACCACTTTTGTAAAATAATCTTATAAGTGCTTGACTGTAATTCATTCCAAAAATCACACATGATTTGACAAGGAGTTCGTATAGTCTTCAACAATTTAAGCCTGAATTTTGCCCAACACCAGAAGCTGCTACAGTACACAAGGATGTTGTTTCTGTCATAAACGAACAAAAAGAGAAACGGATACATATCAAGGCATGGTTTTAAATCTAAAAGCAAGATAATACAGCTGTGCATGAAAACAGAATTGTATCTCCATAAGAACAAAAGGCACAGTAAAAGGCCCTGAGGTGTAGAGGCCACCATGGTTTTATGTCCAAAATACTACAAATTCCATGTTTTCAATCCTTGTATTCAAGTGCAATCTTATAGCCATTCATCAATATCTACTGCCAAGGCAAATCAGTTATTTTGAGGTATTTACCCCAAATCATTCACAAGAAAAAAAAAGTTTTGTCTAATAACAATAACGACTTAAGAAAAAGTAAGTGCAGGACATGAACTGCTGCTCTGTATAGATTAGCTCTGATTAAATTAATCTTTACAATGTTGCGTACTTGAATGATACAGTTAAAAAAACAATCAAGAGACAACAAAAATGAATTAAATTCATAACACACTCATTAAATGATTCAAAAAATGTGTTAATTAAAAGAACATTGACATTGTCTTACATTACCACTGCCCAAACTGTTGCCATTTCTAAAACTACCACTAAAGAACCGACTGTCTTTAGGCTTGGTTCAAATCCTGAAGGTCTAAAAAGCAGTCAATAACAAGAATTTCATGAGAAATGTCTTTTAAGTGTATAAGACAGTCAGCAACTAAAATAAAACAAGTCACTTAAAATGGGTGAATAAATCATTCTTTCTCAATTACAATTACCTTTTTGTCCCAAGAAGTATAATTTTAAGCATTTTTAATTTATGAGATAATTTTCCCTTTTCTGCCCCTCTCTGTTTTTCCCTATTACAGTACAAATGTGCAACACACAAAAAAGTAAGACGATAAACAGCTCAAATTAAAATCTAAATTAGAAAACAAATGGACATACTGTATTATTTGGTCTGTAGAGAACAAAAAGTAAAAGAAAAAACTGTTTAATGTAGCCCTGTATTTAGATTTGGCACTTTCCTTTCTGCAGTTAGAGGATTGCACTGGAATAAGTGAGAGCAGAGAATAAGGGTGAGAAGAGAGGAGCTGCTGGAGGCTAAGAGATGGAAGAGGGGATGAAAGAATACACTGTAAAGTTTCACCAATAAATTAGGTACTCCTGATGTGGTAGATATGGTGCCACATCAAGATGCGGAGGAGAAAAAAAAAGATGACATGAAAAGTCCTGAGGGTGTGTAAGTTGAGTGAAATTTATGGGCACAACAATGGAAGGCTCAGATAATGGCATTAGTGCCACGAAGGCCGACCCCACGGGCAAACTGCTCCAGCAGGCCTGAGATGGCACCAGAAGGGCTTGGAGCCGATGACTTGAGTCCTACTGTAGAGCTGTAAGCTGCAAGGAACAGCTCCCTCACTGCCTCCAACCTCACTTGCCTTTCAGGTACAAATGTACACCTACAAAGAAAAGAGAAAAAAGACATAAAAAATGCTGATGATACACGGGGCAACTTTTTTAACAATGTTGCTTGGGCACTTATCCATTGAGAATGGGTAACAAATTTCAATCTGGATACTTTAGATTGGTCGTGGGCCCTGTGTCTCACCTGGTTGTCCGTTGACGGCAACATTTCCCAAAGTTGCCTGGCAACATTGCTAAAAAAGTTGCCCAGTGTATCATCAGCCATTCTCTCCCTTCACTTAAATCACCAATTTTTTTGTGCCTTCACATATCTTTAGACCTAACAATATCATAAATTTAAAAAAGTAATATTTCAAAAATCAGATCATAATATTACAATAAAAAAGTAGTAAAGAAAGCAAAACTCAAATTAAATGGTGACCAAAGGTGAGGCCATTTTTGGAATGTCTGGTTCTTTCTCCGGAATAAATTCAGTTTTGTACAAAATGACTGACATGTGTGAATACTAATAATAGCATGGTGCTGATGTGCCAAAAGAACAAGAATTTTTTGGTTTCTTAGTTTTTGGATTTAACAAAATTCTTCACGTTGCAATGATGAAGCTGCTGCCTATTCCTGGGAATGCAGCCTATTCCTATTGTGATAATCTTGACTAATCATGTAAACTATTACTCATTCAATCTCAGTTTTATTGTCAAATTACAAGAATACAACAAGAATACAGTGAATGAGTTCAGGTGGGGTTGGAGTGTGTATGAGACTCACATTCGTCCGCTGGGACCCTCATCCTGGAAGCTGAATGGAAGTGGAGACTCAGAGGGCACTGGGGGAAGATCATGGATGCTCCCACATCCTGACACAATCTGCCAACTGCCATAATCTGTGGACAGCGAGGAGCCTGACCGAGCATATTCCACCACGGGCCTGAGATTCAGAAAGAGACACAAAATATTAAAAAGATGAATAGAGCAAGAAAAAAATATGAATAGAGCCCAATTGGGTTGCTCCAATTACAAAATTTAGGCTTTGGTATAATAGCAAGCTCTGGTTCATCTTTATTGAAAATTATTAGTGAAGTGTGTATTTGTCGACAAATGTCAACCCAAGTATATAGTATCATGCACACTACACAAACATGATCTATAAGCACTCAAAATCACTACAAAATAAACTTTGAAAGTACTCACCTCCTTCCTGGTACAGCTAACGGGGTGCTTCCTGTCCGTGTAACATTTTGATCTGAGTGGTTGGATGAGGAAGAGCTTGAGGACTTAAAGGACCCCAGAGGACTGGCCTCAGTCATTACATTAGGTGCTCGCTCCTCAGAAGTGATCGGTCGGTTCCAATGCCCAGAATGAGAAGACAATGGCATGCCTTTCCTCCTGTGATAAACACTAAATACGTCAACATCATTTAAAACAGCAACTGTGAAGTCAGAAAAATGTATTCACATAAAAATGTGAACAAGAAACTGAAAATAATGACATGGCCACTTTCTATGGCAGGTCGCATATATCTTATGATTGGCCAGTGTGCACGAGATCCATGTGTAACCACAATCTCCGTCTGGCTACCTGACTGATCCTGCCAGTAACAGGCAGGCAAGTGCATTCATAGTAATAAGGTGCAATTAAAGGTGCTTGTTTAATTTTTATTTTGTAAGCCTTACCCATTAGAAGCCTGTGGTCCAGTGGTAATCAGGTCTGTAGCTTCTGCAAGTAGACTGGAGGGAGCAGATGTATCTTCTGTGATGAGAGAGAAATCACTACTCAAACTTGTCACACTACCCCGATCTCTGGGCTCTGAGAAAGAGAGAGAGGGAGGGAGAGGGAGAGAGAGAGGGAGGAAGACAGAAAGACAGACAGACAGACAGACAAAGACAGAAAGAAAGAAAGAAAGGCATGTAAAATCTGTAGTCTATTTAAAAACTCTAACTTCCTGCAGGGCAACCACAAACAAACTTGTAAGATCTTATAATCATTAGCATAAAGGTTTGTGAATCTGCTGCTTTGACTACTGTAGTCAGAATAATCACTGAATCACTCATTTTAATGAAAGTCAATTCTGAAAAATGGCAGAAATTTTGAAAATAAAACTTACTTAACTGGCAGAGGTCATCGACTGTGAAGTCAGCATCTTTGAATTGAGAATTTTTTCTTCTGTTACAGTAAAACAAAAAAGAAAAAGAAAAAACAAACAGACATCAATACAGTCACAGGCTGCAAATATCTGGGTCATTGAGAAATTTAGCAGAACAGAATACATGTCACCAAATTTAGCATATCAGATTTTTCTCTCTGAAACCATCACAGAACCTATGAAGATGCTGAACTTACAGCCTGCCCTATTTGTGGAATTTAATGAAATTTAAAAAAAGAAATTAATTGGAATTGGTTTCTGTTAAACAATTTGATGAATCAAAACTTTGTGTTTGACTCTAGATAATGCATACAAAATTTCACACCAATCATCTAACTGATCTGTGAGGAATTTGATTTTAATTTATCTAATCTAAAATGGTAAAAATCATCACAGAAATCCACACAGCTATTTGATTTGGAGGTACAGACAGATAGAGAGGAACAATAAGCCCTTTGTCAACATCAAGCTGGTGTAAGTCTCACACATATGAAATTTTGTAAAAACTGGATATTTTGTTCACATGTTTTAGATGTTTGGGGTTTTTAGGCCATGCTTATAACGACTGATGGTCCAGTAGAAGTCACACCGAATTCAAAGTTCAACATGTATTTGATAATTATTGACCTATGGACACCAAATAATCTTCTTGCACTGTTTTTTTTTTCTTTTTTCAACTTTGGCCAAAATCCAAGGACTAGTTTGTAAAAATGAACTGATTGCCTCAGGAAACATTTCTGTCAAAGCAAAGTTGTTTGGGGTGAGAAGGCTTATAATCGAGACGGACATTGACAAAAGCCAGTAATTCCAAAAATATAAGGCTCTTGAGTCTGTGACAAACTCTTGAAAAGTTACAGGACAAAATGCTTTATTGCCACATTTTCAATTACTGATCTAGAGATTTACTGATCTAGAGATTTACTAGTCTAGAGATTTAAAAGTATATTTGTAATGTTTTTGTTGAGAGATAATAAAAAAAAAAAAAAAACAACAACTAGAAACAGTTGGCAAAAGTACTTTATGAAATCTTTAATAGTTTTTTTAGAAGGTTTAACCGACACCACTGGCTCTTGAGTGAAAAGTCCTTCTGCAGTACATAAAACAAACGAGTCAACCAATGGCTATGTACAATATAGAATTTAATGCAAAATAAAAAATGGCTGCAGGTTATTATGGCCAAAATAGGAACACTGTGCATCATATGCTCCCATATATAGCAAGGAATAAGAAATGACCAGTCTTATAATTTTAGATAAAATTAGCAAGTTATGAGAAAAAAAGTTCATATTACTTCATATTTCTTAACATTCTCCAACTCTTTATGCATACACACTTCTAAATCGAGATGAGAACTGACCTGTGCTAAAATGATTGGTTACTGCTCCATTTATTAAAATTTTTTTTTTAAATCACACCTTCAAAACCAACCACATATGGCTGCACCAAAACAGGACAGGCCAATGTCTACCAGCAATTTAAACACACAGAAAAACAGAACAGAAAGAGGTTTAAAAGCTTAAAAGCTATCAAATTATTCTATTCTACACATACTCATGAGACACAAAGATGATTTTTGTATTTAAAATCTGAAGTCAGATAGCTTACCTTTGTTTTTTTATGACTGAAAATGTGTCACAAACAATATGCTTCAGAAAATTGAAGCAGAAAAAGAAAATCTAGGAGAGAGAATATCAAAAGTCAAATTGATTTTATATAACTGACACATGTACTGACACATGAACAATCTGTCTGGGAGGTGCACACTAAACAATAATTAAACAATCTAAATCACATTAATTGTACTCCATTCATAGCTAACATATTCTTTGCATAGGTATTAAATATGTGAAGTCTCACCTCCTCCCCCTTAGAGAGCCGATCAGGCAGCATGTGACTAGAAAAGGACAAAATAAAAAATTGAGAATTAGAATATTCTTTTTTTGTTGTTGCATATCTAATGATGGCAGATCAAACATCACTTTCTGCAGACATATTTTTCTGTTTTCACCCTTCAGACTACCTTTAGGAAATATATGTATATTTATGTTGTAGAACAAAATTTGAAAGACTCAAGTAATGTTAACAAAATAAATGTTTTGTGCTTATCGCTTATAACTTTAAAAAAATTAATCAAGGGGCTCAAATCAATCAAAATTAATCTAAAGCTATAATGTCGTTTACAAAGTCCCATGGCACACTGCAGGTCACATACTTTTTGGGCTTCATGTGCCAGTCAAATAAGTGCCAAGAGATGAATGAGAATGTTCATGAATGCTTTAGGTACATCAGAACTCCTTGCAGAGTTAAGTGTGTGCATTCAATAATAGTAGAGCCAATGTGTACATGCATAAAATGAGTTAAGGTCAGTAACTTAGTAATGTTACCTTGAAATGTGATTCATTTTTTATACAGGTGCATCTCAATAAATTAGAATGTCGTGTTTTGTGCTTATCGCTTATAACTTAAAAAAAATTAATCAAGGGGCTCAAATCAATCAAAATTAATCTAAAGCTATAATGTCGTTTACAAAGTCCCATGGCACACTGCAGGTCACATACTTTTTGGGCTTCATGTGCCAGTCAAATAAGTGCCAAGAGATGAATGAGAATGTTCATGAATGCTTTAGGTACATCAGAACTCCTTGCAGAGTTAAGTGTGTGCATTCAATAATAGTAGAGCCAATGTGTACATGCATAAAATGAGTTAAGGTCAGTAACTTAGTAATGTTACCTTGAAATGTGATTCATTTTTTATACAGGTGCATCTCAATAAATTAGAATGTCGTGGAAAAGTTCATTTATTTCAGTAATTCAACTCAAATTGTGAAACTCGTGTATTAAATAAATTCAATGCACACAGACTGAAGTATTTCAAGTCTTTGGTTCTTTTAATTGTGATGATTTTGGCTCACATTTAACAAAAACCCACCAACTCACTATCTCAACAAATTAGAATACTCCATAAGACCAATAAAAAAAAACATTTTTAATGAATTGTTGGCCTTCTGGAAAGTATGTTCATTTACTGTACATGTACTCAATACTTGGTAGGGGCTCCTCTTGCTTTAATTACTGCCTCAATTCGGCGTAGCATGGAGGTGATCAGTTTGTGGCACTACTGAGGTGGTATGGAAGCCCAGGTTTCTTTGACAGTGGCCTTCAGCTCATCTACATTTTTTGGTCTCTTGTTTCTCATTTTCCACTTGACAATACCCCATAGATTCTCTACGGGGTTCAGGTCTGGTGAGTTTGCTGGCCAGTCAAGCACACCAACACCATGGTCATTTAACCAACTTTTGGTGCTTTTGGCAGTGTGAGCAGGTGCCAAATCCTGCTGGAAAATGAAATCAGCATCTTCAAAAAGCTGGTCAGCAGAAGGAAGCATGAAGTGCTCCAAAATTTATTGGTAAACGGGTGCAGTGACGTTGGTTTTCAAAAAACACAATGGACCAACACCAGCAGATGACATTGCACCCCAAATCATCACAGACTGTGGAAACTTAACACTGGACTTCAAGCAACTTGGGCTATGAGCTTCTCCACCCTTCCTCCAGACTCTAGGACCTTGGTTTCCAAATGAAATACAAAACTTGCTCTCATCTGAAAAGAGGACTTTGGACCACTGGGCAACAGTCCAGTTCTTCTTCTCCTTAGCCCAGGTAAGACGCCTCTGACGTTGTCTGTGGTTCAGGAGTAGCTTAACAAGAGGAATACGACAACTGTAGCCAAATTCCTTGACACGTCTGTGTGTGGTGGCTCTTGATGCCTTGACCCCAGCCTCAGTCCATTCCTTGTGAAGTTCACTCAAATTCTTGAATCGATTTTGCTTGACAATCCTCATAAGGCTGCAGTTCTCTCGGTTGGTTGTGCATCTTTTTCCTTCCACTCAACTTTCTGTTAACATGCTTGGATACAGCACTCTGTGAACAGCCAGCTTCTTTGACAATGAATGTTTGTGGCTTACCCTCCTTGTGAAGGGTGTCAATGATTGTCTTCTGGTGAGTACATGTAGAGTAAATGAACATACTTTCCAGAAGGCCAACTATTCACTAAAAATGTTTTTTTTATTGGTTTTATTTTATTGGTTTTTGTTAAATGTGAGCCAAAATCATCACAATTAAAAGAACCAAAGACTTAAACTACTTCAGTCTGTGTGCACTGAATTTATTTAATACACGAGTTTCACAATTTGAGTTGAATTACTGAAATAAATGAACTTTTCCACGACATTCTAATTTATTGAGATGCACCTGTATATATTTTTTATTTTTAGAGAAAATAATTTTTAAAATGTCATATCATGAAAATATTTATCTTATTGTTATGTTGCAAACTTTTAATATTGGTACATTCCTAGACAATTACAGTGTAAATGAAACAGGAATGAGACTAACCCAAAAAGAAACCAGTCATATGCTATAGTCAGGTAAAGGATCTCGGACGGCTCCAGACTGGCATGAATGGCACCGTCCTATAAAAATTCAAAATGAATTCAACACAAAGAAAGGTACAGAAAGAAGAAATTAGGATATTTAGCAAGGTGGAGTGAATATTTGATATAAAATTAAGACATATGTAATGAGAGGCAGAAGAAATTAATACTTGCCGCCCACAAAGAAAGTCTGAGCAGAGACACAAAGAGAGGTGTCCTGTCCCAGCCTGATATACAGTGCACCAGTAAACCGTTCTCATCTGCAGACCACAACATTCCAAAAAGTTATCCAAAACTAAAAAGACTAGTGAACCATGTTTGGTGCAGACGTGTGTGAAAGTGCAGTAATTTACCATCAGAGTTGATGATGTGTAGAAGCAGTTTCAGATAGTTCTGAGTCTGCTGCACCAGGTCCCATGACTAAAAAAGATGAAGACAACAATTACCAAATACAAAATCATAAATGAACATACACATAATTTAAGTCTGTGGCTCAGTGCATCCAGCATTCTTTATTAACCTTTGTCAGAACCATCAAGCTACAGTGTTCATTGTGTCTACTAATGAACAGTGATGATTATTTTTCAATTAAACTGAAGACTCCCAAAAGCTACTGGTGAATGTAGTACTCTCACTCCAAGAATACATCAGTAAGGTTTGTGCCTTGACATTAATTACTTAACTGTTTGACAAAAATGCTACAAATTTAATATCAAATTATCTAAAAAGATAGAGACATTTTGCAGGTAGAGTAGTCTGCTTCAACAGTTTTTGAATGTGAAGGCAATCAGAGTTTAGATCCAGCTTGTCCCATTTCCTTAAACCCAATCAATTCCTGTCTATCTAAAAGACAGTCAAGAAAATGTATGAGAGACTCTGAGTACCTGATATTCACTCCAGTTGATGTTAAGGTTTTTTGTAAAGCAAGCAGGGATTGTCAGAGGAGCATCCACATAGTCCTATACACACACAACCAAAAGTGATGGTCAGCGAAAGAACAACTGTACTTACAGAAACAGTTTCTGTTGAACTTCTAATAAAGTTTTTAACTAAATAAGTTTGTGTATAGACCTGATTCCAGTTGAAGACAAGCCCTTCTGCTGTGTAATCTCTGTCTTTATATTCCCTGAAGAATTCACATCCTGAAAACAAGTGCATGAAACAACTAATATTACAGCTACAGTGTAATGAATATAGCCATTGAATAAGTAGAACAGAAGACTAATTTTATTTTTTATTTTTTAAATGATATCAGCATAAAGAAGATCTATACCTGGATAAGGCACAGAGAGTAGGGTGAAGTCAGCATAGCGTTGGGCCTTGTCCACCTTTTCTGAGGAAGTCACACTGAAGACAAACACAAAATTGTAAACAGAGTAAGAGATCATCGAGAAAGGAAGAGAAATCATTGTCTCACAGACATGAACAAAATGTAAGTCAACACACAGCCACGTCATAATGAATACTGTGGCCAGGGTCCAAAATTAACTCCCGCAATGTAGTTTAAAACATGTTAGTATGAAGACGGATTTGAAAAATAGAATAAACTGCAGTATGATAACTACAAAGTTGTCCAAAATCAGCCACTGTTGTTAAATTTTAAAGACTTCAATAAGTGAGCACACATGTATGTACATCAAAAAATGGAGCCAAAAAGACAAAGGTGCACATCAAATTTATGGTAGACATGATATTTTACAAGAAGTTTCACATACATTTACAAGAAAATAAATGTCAGTAACATGTTACTATGTTTAGAGGCATGAATGTGTGTTCATAGAACATTTTTCATTTTACAAGCTTTTTGTTTTCTGTATTATCTATAATGTCTCTTCTACAATAGTTATTATACTAATGTGGGGAAACACAATGCTTATTTTGTATGTTTATATTGAACCTTTTTGGCACAAAATGTAGAATAAATTTAGAATAGAAAATAAAAACTTATTGGATCCTGATAATGGCTTTGGTTTTGGGTCTGAAAGACCTACATTATTTATGACATAACATTTACTAAAATTCAGAGAATGGCACATCATGTAATTGTTTAAAAAGCATTCTAACATGAATGTAATAAAGTTCACTCACTTGAGGCCAAACTTGACCTTCTTATTCTCTACCATGAGGTCACAGATGTAGCGTACAGACAAATACTTCAACAGCTTAATGTCAGAGCCCCTAACCTTATCAAACAACTGTGAATCATTATTCCTGTAGAGTGACAAAGAAAGACCAGAATAAGATGATTAGAAGACAAATATTTTTCTTACAAAACGCACACAAAATCAGTTATGTCACAATTCACAGGAGCAAGCCAGAACCATTGTTAAACTACTTATCTATGTCTATAACTGTCTATATAATTGAAACATTTGGCTCCTTGAAAGATTGTGTTCCTTGCCAGCTTATCTTACCGAACTGCACAGTCATCCTCCAGAACCTCTTCAGCATCACCAAAGGTGTCATCTGAACCCCCTGCAATAGTTTGAGATTAAACCTAATGCAATCCAAAAAGTAATGTCCACCGCTACATCTACACTGCCCCACAGTTTAAGCTCTCTTGAATGACTCTGATGAGTGAATGACTGTAGTTTGAGAAGTTCAACCATGTTAGAAATGTTACAATAATCTCTTAGAGGTATTAATCAATGGATGTAGTTATACCAATTAGCAATACAATCTGAAAATCTATCTCGTAATGCAGGGGTGTCCAGTCCTGCTCCTGGAGGGCCACCATCCTGCAGAGTTTAGCTCAAACCCTAATTTAATACACCTGAATCAGCTATTTAAAGTCTTTAGGCTTACTAGAAACTATCAGACAGGTGTGTTGTGGGACATTGGAGCTAAACTGTGCAGGATGCTTGCCCTTCACATGCAAGATTGGACACCCTTGTTCTAATGTGTATACATACGAATCTTTATCTTTGTAATATTTTCAAAGTTCAGTTTAAGTGACTGAAATTGTGCCTTTACTGCATGATTTTTATTTGGGTTTTGCTGTCAGGGACAGATATTTGAGGTCTGTGACAAAAAACCCAGACCACAGCCAAGCAGGTGTTTGAACTGGTTCAGTGACTAGATCTGAGCCTATGTCACAAACACTGCAATATTTTCAAGGATGTTTGATATTATCGTCTCATAATCCTTGAAGTGTGATTGCTACAGCCAATCGAGATAATAAAGGAGGAGGAGGGAAGTTCAACACAATATGACTAGTCTTGTGTGAATTTATATGAGAAAACAGATTTATTGCCATTGACCATGGATGTCTTTTGGACTCAAGGCTTACATAAGTCCACAAATCTATAACTCTGTCTTGTTCACCAGTGGTGGATCAATGGCTTTAACTGACTGCCCAAATGAGTTTTAATGACACCAGGACCATCACAAATAGCCCACTGACATGTGAATAACAGACTTATTTGTTAACTTATTTACAGATGGGTGTAAATGTTGACAGGAGTTCTATGGGTAATCAAATGGGTTCTATGACAGGAGTTTAGGGGGAAAGGTTATACTCCATTATAGGCAATTGTCCCCATTTATATTTTGGCATATGGGTGCATGTTAGGGAACATTTCCAATAAGCAAAACAGACAAATACACCAACATTTTCTCTCTATTTGTAAAGAAAACCATATCTAATCTCCCAAGAACCATAAGCAGTTTTTATTTGATCAACCTTAGACTGCAATGTTCAAGAGAGCTTCCATATTTACAACACAAAGTGACTTGAGTTAAGTATCATGTACAAATCTCAGTGGTGACATGAAGAGTATGAACAGCATTCAGCACTGTATACAGTGATAATTTGTTTCTTTGTTTTTTTGCCCTTCTGGAAATTCAAACTTGTAAGGAGTCACTCAAACAGAACACATTCTGTCTGCTCTATTTTTTCCACTGTTGGGGAAATGTCTTTGCCAGTTGCACAAAACTTCATTGTATTTACAGCATCTTGCAGCATGCTGTGTCATGTTTAGGGCTGCACGATTAATCGAATGCGATTGTCATGCCAATTTTGTTAAAAAAGCCGTTCTGTAATCAGCAGGAAATCATCATCACGTGCTTTCAGATGGAGCAGAATTTACTACACATAGCCGTAGTTCACTGACAAGTTACGCAATGGATGGAGATTTACTGCTGATGACAGAACCGTGCTTCACTGAAAGATACACATGACAATCGCAGCTTCTGTCGAATCGCGATCTCGATTCCATTTCTATTTATCGTGCAGCCCTAGTCAAGTTAATATTCGTCAACTTTTGACACATCATTTTGATGCTGATATAGCTTGTAGTAGCTAACTGTGAGTGTGTACCTGAGAAAATGTAGTTGTATCCAGTGCGTCCATAAAGTTCGCCCCAACCTGCTAGTGTAGATGATCGACACACATGCTACAATAAAGGAGAGAAAAAAACAGTTTAAGGTCACTAGAACAAAAACAGAAACACAGGCCCCTGGTAAAGCTAACTACAGAGGAGTCTGGAAGCTTGTTAGTAGCTCCTAGTAAATTATAACAACCTTCAAAGTTAAGGCTTTATTTATTAAGGCAAAGATAGTCCAGAACTCAACACTTCAGTACTAAAGATCACAAGAAAAAATGAAATCTGTTATTGACACTATGATTTGTCTACTATCAGTATATCCAAATGTTTAACAAGGGCATGTCCTACAACTATAACATAGCAGTCTATTACAAAAAAATAAATAAATAAAACAGCAACAGAAATCATCTGGTGATCCAAAAATCTACTATGCCATACTAGGCCAATTGTACACTGAAAATTTTCCCATTTGATTATGGCAAGATAGTTACCTTTCCATTGTAGAGTATGACTGGACAGACAAATCTCCCTCTACAGCGAGCCATCTTACTGCGGTTCACCAGATCCTGCAACCTACTGATCTGCACTGTACTCTCAAAGCTGAACAAAAATGAAGAAAAAGAAGAAAAAAAAGAAAGAAAAAAAAACATTAAAAAATGTTTACAATACACTGGTGACAGAGCAATATATCAATATACAATCAGCCAAGAACTTTGCCCACATGGCCATTTAACAGAAGTAATCATAAGAAAAACAGGTACAATGTCAACATTATAACAAAAAGGTATGTCTTCAGATTTCATTCACAGATATTAGCCGGTAGTTACAAAACCATGCAGTCTTCCCACAATGTTCTTAAAGGGGTCATCGGATGCCCATTTTCCACAAGTTGATATAATTCTTTAGGGTCTTAATGAAAAGTCTATAACATACTTTGGTTAAAATTTCTCAATGGTAGTGTAAAACAACACCCTTTTTACCCTGTCAAAAGCAGCTCTTTTCAGAGGAAGCCGTTTTGTTGCATTCCACTTTAAATGCTAATGAGCTCTGCTAACCCCGCCCCTCTCTTCTGTGGGGTGACAGGCAGTTCTCTGAGAGACTGTTTACTTTAGCCGCATTTAGCTGCGAAACGTGCTAACTAGCACGTTATTAGGAAAGGCGATTTGCAAAAATTCATAAAAAAAACCTTATACTCCTTCTGGAGGTGAAGCTGGATCACGAATGATCGCGCGAAGATAAACGCATTTAGGTAGATCGGGGGGCGCATTCCCTTCAAAAACAAACAACCACTGCTCAGCGGCTCAGATGTCAGGAGTAAATGAAGACTGCTATGTTCATTATTACATCCAACAACAAAAGACCTCAATCGCTTAGGAGACATTCTTGTCTACATCTGCTCCGGCGGTGAAACATGGCGGACTGATGACCACTGTTTCCAACTCTCGCGAGACAAATAAGCAACCGCAGCTTTAAAAACAAGCTCAATATTTTTTGATGATTTATTATCATCAATACTATTTATTATCAATTATTTATTACCAATAAATGAGCCTGCAACATTAAACTGAAACCACTCTTTTATCTGAAAAGCAAAAACAGAAGCTATTTTACAAAAATCAGCAAACTGCAACAAAAGTGGTAACAAAACTCATCTCCAATCACCTGTGAGCAGAATAGGATTGGAGAGATGGAAAAGGAGAAAAACACAAGAGCTTCAAAGGGGAACTGTAACATAGCCACATATTTATAGCCTACTAAAATATAGGCTATTCGAACCATATTTACTCTTAGTATTATTATAGGACTACTTGTTTTTTTATTACAGCCCGTGATAATTAATACATTATAAAAACATTGTAAAAATGTAAAATTAGGCTAAAAGAAAGTCATCCCACTCCTCTACGTCTACTTCTATCATCGCTTGGATTACAGCATCACACGCCTTATTTTTGAATGTGATTTTTCTCTAAAGAGGGCGAGGAGGGGGCGGAACATTTGGCAAATTACGCTGCAGCACTTATATTAATGCACTGGTTGGCTATTAACTGCGAGCAGACAGAGTGTCATTCAATGCATTGGAGAATACGGCGAACATAAATAAAGAAACGACGTTGCTTGTCAGATTTCCCTAACAAGCAACCATATTTTTTTTTAAATAAGCCCAAAAAAATAGCAACCTGCGACCCAGGATTTTTTCACGCAACTTTACAAAATAAGAAGCCCAAAGTCGCATATAATACACGGACTTGGCAACTCTGCTGATGACAGCTCACTCAGATAGCAACCTGCGACCCAGGATTTTTTCACGCAACTTTACAAAATAAGAAGCCCAAAGTCGCGTATAATACACGGACTTGGCAACTCTGCTGATGACAGCTCACTCAGGGCGGGTCTAAGGTAAAGCAGTGTCAGTCAACAATCGTGGGAGGGCCTGGGTCTGTGTGACGTCACACAGACAGGCATCTGAGAACGGCTTTATTTGAGAAAGGGGTAATGATTTTAAAAACCACTGGGTGGATTTTTATCATTATAAGGTGGTTGTGTACACACACTGCCAACACACATTTATGTTCAAACAACATGTAAAAGTGCATTTCGCATACGATGACCCCTTTAACTGCAGAAGTAGTTACATTAAACAAAGTAGATTAACATTTCTATATCAGTAATTAAAAGGTAATTACAATGTAGTGAGTGATGAATCAAAGTATGTAGGCTACTTGTGTTTGAGTAACTACAAGTTCCATGTTTTGTTTTAACATTTGATTGAATACTACTATAATGGAACTGTATAATATCAGATGCAAGATCCTGGTTTATTACTAACCTAACTTTAGTTTATCTCTCAAGAAAGCCCCAAATTCATCACATTTAATGTTTCAAAAATTTCCAAATGGTATCTGGGTGATAGTTTAAAGAATTGTCAGAATTCAATGGTTGTTTTGGTTCTCCGAGACCAGAGCTGCTCTGATTGCATTATTTAAATCATAATTTCATTATTAAAATCATTATTTAAAAACATAAGTAGTGTTGACAGGCTGTACATGTCAACATGTTTATCTGATTATGGTTGTTTCCTTACATTACTGTTAACAGTGATAAAAAATACTGAAATACCTTATATGAATAAATATTAGCAAAAATGCATACATAAAATATATTAGAAATAAAGATTTTTATAAATATCAAACCATAGGAATTAACATTTTTATTTTAATATTTTTAACTTTGTGTGAGCATATTGAAACTTGTCATGCATAAGTAGTGGCACAGGGTGGCACACATACCATTTAAATGAAAACATGAGCTCATTGATGTAATTTAATCAGTCTGCCATTTTTTCCATTAGTTACTCCTGCTTGGAGGCTTCTATAAAAATGTAGTTGATATGTGGTGTGTGTTTCAACTAATATGCAACGCTTACACATTTACTAGAGCATGAATTGTAAATTACTACATCAAAAAAATCAAGTATAAGACTTTTGTTAAGGCATATGTCATTGGCAGTACAGCAATATAGGAATTAAGCCACATTGATGATGTTCTTCTTTTACTATAAAAATCATGGTATCTTTCAAGAATCTCTTTTCAGAGAAATAAGGCAAAACATAAATATAAAATGCTTCTTCCCATTGACTTTTTCCCAACATAACTAACAACCAATCTGTCAACTACTGTGTCTCTTCAGTAGACTAAAAGAGACAGCAATGTTTTTACCTCTCTTTATGGTTGTCTGAAGATTCATATTCCAGAAACACAATCTTCCGTGGGTAGTGACCACACACGTCCCCATTGGTGTTGTGGATGATACTGTACTTGTAGTCCCGGCCAAACAGCTCCAAACAGCGCTTCTCTATTCTCTCTACCTAAAAATACATATAAAATGCATACATAATACATACATAACATTTTAAAAGCTTTTTTAAGACCCTTTGAACCCTCTAATTTCAGCAACAAGCAGAAAGAGATATGACTCCTAAGTAAAGTAACTTTTTTGGATGTTGAAATACAATCATCATCAGATCAGCAGCAAAAATAATTTGCAGTTTTTTGGTCAATTAAATTATATTGAGTACTTTTGTTTGTATTGTATATTTTCATTTTCTTATATCATCACTCATTTCCTCACCCATTTACAATCATTTATCTGTTAACACCATTGTGATGCATTCACACTGATTTTGGCCATATTCTTATCTCTGCATGAGTGTTTAAGTGTACAAATCAGTTTAACTGTGCAACCAGTTAAACAACTACTGCCTGTGAAATATGAGAATGGTTATGCCATTTTGACAGAACCTGCATTATTTCCCTGGACTTTCATCATCTCGAAACACACGTAGGTCTGAGACAACACCTAATGTTAACCAAAGCACTGAGCCATGGTGCTCATTGCAGACAATGCAAGTTTGAACCTGAAAATCAGCCTGTTTTACTATGCTTGATCTACACCATAACAATATATATGGCTGTTTGCATTCATATTATACAACCCTCTACGGACACCTTGGCAATTGAATCGCCATTGGCTAGTAAATTTTTTAGTTTACTCGCCAGACTGATATACCATATATGCCAAACCACAAAATTAATCAGATTCATTGCTAATACTTCGTGCTGTATTTCCCCACCTAAATGATGTAACTTCCTGGAGGTAGGGCTGCACAATTAATCGAATTTCTAATCGCAATTACAATTACGGATGCCACAATTACGTAATCGTTCAAAGCGACAATTAATCATTCAAAGTCCACTTATGTTATTCTGCGCGCTTAAGAATAATACCATGAAAAATAAACCATGCATATTTTTACTTTTTTTATTTAAAGAAGAAACCAATCTAATGTTTAGTTCACATTTGAGGCTTAATACTATAGAAAAACAATAAAGGGTAGTTAGAGTGTTTTCATCTAAAAATATGGCATGCGGTTGCTTCAAACAATGGTATAAATATCATTCAATGTAAATTGTGATAATCGTAATTAATAATCGCAATTACAATTTCAAAGGAATAATCAACAATTATGATTTTTGCCATAATCATGCAGCCCTATATACATTCTATTATATTACATTCTGCAAGTGCATTCTGCATCCCCAATGCATGGTCTTTTAGTTACTACGGCCAATCACAATTGTGGACCAATCACAATTACTGTGGTCTATATAGACAGGACATCGTTTTGAAGAGGTGCACTTTAGGTTACAGAGAAGTATAAATCGTATAAATCAGTCGTGGGTTAGTTTTAACTACAGTGATGATGCATCAGAACACAAGCATCACTCCTCAATCTCCTCAATTTAAAAGTTTAATAAAAAAAATAAATTAAAAAAAGTATAATAAAAAAGAAAACAAATAACATGTATTAATTTTTTTTCTCTGCTTAATCTGTGACTTTGGAAAGAAAAGACTCATGTCTCATGAAATC